ACGGAAAGGCGGACCTTGAAGGCGGAGTCTGGAGGTGTAGTCACTAGAAGATGTGCGATGCCACTAGAGCAACTTTTAGCCTTAACTTTTTTTACCTCACAAGTGTCGGCCTCGAAACTGCCGCAAGGTTGTGCGGACCGCACTACCCTTCCCACAAAAGCTGTTGCATTTTCATAGGTCATCGCGAACCGTTTTTCAGGAGGATGAATTAGGTTTTCATCTCTTCGTGCAGGAGGCGGTCAAGCAGCACACCCCTCACTCCTGAGACAGAGTGGGCATGGCATTGGACCCGAAAGCACAGCCACTGCTACGTTACGTTGAAGCACGCGGCCGCGCCCACCACATTCTAGGGATATCGAGTGTATGTAAGGACTGAGAAAAGTACAAGGCTATGAGTTATTCCTGACACGACTGGAGAGTATGGATTTTTTTTGATACTTTTGTATCACCCTAGCAGATGCTGCATTCAAATACGAGTTGTATACCCCCTTCCGATGACTCTTGTGCGAGGTGGATGGATCCACACTGCAGTGGCGTCCAACTTTCTCCGCATTCATGTTCGCGACAAAGGGGCTGGGGGGTAGCGATACTCGGGTGTCGTTTTCGGAGTTCGCCTGCGCTATCCTCAATGTGCAGCACTTACGTCGCTATCAAGACGCTGTCAGAGGCAAAGAACAACTAGAAAAGAGAGAGCGCAGATAAAGAGCGCGTTTGGCTGTGGTTAGGCGTGTGGCTGGACGTGCGGCACCACGGACAGACTTGGGAGGCGGCACCCAGATATCGCTACCCTTCAGCTCCCGTGCACTTTCAAGCGGAGAAAGTAACACGTTTCTGAGGCTACGGACCCATTCACCTCACACATGCCGAGGAGCAGAATCCACGCAAGTTTGTGTTCGCGTTCTTTCCGAGGCAGAGGGAGGGCATCAATCATAATTTCAGAGAATCGGGGCGCATTGAAATTCCCGAAAGAATTCGAATGTGATCGGAAATACTCTTGTTGAAGTGGTTACTAGAGAGAGCTCTTATTCACAGCAGCGGACAGGCTACTTTCAGTCTTGAATTTCTCAGCTGTGTTGCACAAAACTTGGCAGTTTATCTGCACTACGTGGACCGTTTATGCGTTTCGGGCAAGTCTCATCCGCTTTAGGCTGCGTTCATACTTCGCGGCAGCGTCCACCAACAACCGCAAGCGTTCCGAGCGCCTGGCAGCGTGAGCGACTAGGAAAGTGTGGTTATCGATCTAGCGCCTAGCATCGTCTACCAGCATCCACCTGCGTCTACCAGCGACCATAGAGTGCAACAGCGACCAGAAGTGTCCGAGGGCTAGGAAAGTATACGTATCGATCTAGCGACAAGCATCGTCTACCAGCGTCCAATAGACTTTGGAAGTGGGGAGTATGGAGCAATAGGAACGTAGCAGACAGCTGGCGGAGTATGGGGAGATGGGGTGCAACAGATCAGAACAGCTGGTACTGCCCCATACTCTCTATTAGCAATTTGCTGCGTGGACGCCAATAGACGCTGCTAGTTGCTAGATTGAAATCCATACTTTCATAGTCCTCGATAAGCTGCTGGTCGCTGGTGGACGGTCATGGTCGCTTATGGACGGTGGTGGACGCTGGTAGACGCTAGATCGATATCTACACTTCCTATTCGCTGACGCTACGGACGCTCGGAACGCTGTGGTCGCTGGTGGACGCTGCCGCAAAGTATGAACGCAGCCTTAGGATCGAGTGGGCCTTGTGAAGCTGCTATTATCTCCGAATCCGCTCGCTGGTATGAGTGGCACTCAAGATAGATATTCAGCTCACAAGTCAAGCTCAAAACATAAGGGTAACGTGTACTCTGAATGTCATGTGAGATTTTGTACTTTGAAAGTGTGAAAGCCGTCGTGCGTCACAAGAAAAAAAAGTGAGAAATGCGTCTAGATAGTTCTGATTTCATTCAACAAGGAAACGCTTCAAATCCTCGACTTACTCGTTATGCGACTGGGGACGTTTCCTCTGGAATGCGTACGGTCCGAGTCCATCATGATTGATCTGAACTTAATTAATAATGAACTTCCAAAGCGACAAAACCCTTGTACTTCGTACCCACCTCGAAGATAACACAGCCAAAGGCCCAAATGTCTGTGACAATGTCGAAGAGGTGATCCTGCAAGCATTCCGGCGCCCACCATGGCCAATCCAAATCGCACATATTGATCATCTCCACGGTGTCCTGCAATTATGCATATGGTTGTGAGAAATTGGCGTTGCTACCACTACCAGTGCCATCACTACCAATAATTTGGGGTTCCCGATTTTAATGCCACTGCGATCACAAGGTCTTGTTCAAACATCTTGGAAATTTAAAGGTGGGACATCTAGGAGACTGAAGGCTCATGCACAGAAACTATGTATGGTTTCAGCAACAGCGAGCCTGCAAATCAGTTGTTTTGGAGAATGGAATTTTTGGAAGGCCGTTGAAGCACGATCTCAGCCGTTCCCCTGGCGCAAGTTCCGTCGGACGGGGGGGGGCATTTTTGCACTTTTGACCCACTTCCCATCACGTGTCGATCCATCTAGACAGTCCTCTTCCCACGAGTTAACTGGTGTTTTATCCATGAAGGGCTTGAACGAACTTGTTCCAGCTCCACAAAAGTACACAGGTTCACCACAGTGGGACTTGTCAACTAGAAATAATGAAGCAGAACTGCAAAGTGTCCCCCCATCCCGTCGCCGAAGTGCGCTCATTTCTCTCTCCTTCTTGAAGGCAGAGATATAGGAGCACATGCGAAAGCGAGACCTGCTTGTTAAGAAATTCTCTAACCATAGACGGTGGTATAAACACTGGATCCCGCAAAGTAAATGGGCTTCAAGAAAGGCGTGACTGGGAATCGCAGCGGCCAAATTGTCTCTCTCTGCAGCAACTGCTGCAATGACTGTGGAGAGGCAAATTGATGGAAAGCCCTGCCAAACTTGGTTTCACTTCAGTCTACGCTCCTTCACAAGCTTATGTTTGCACGATCGATGACTGCAACAGCCCTTCTCCTGCGGGGACGTTGCAGTCACTGTTCGCTACCAACCTCTGTCGATCCTCACCGTCAATTGTAATCGAGCAGTCATCTTCAAGGTAGCCCGGTAGCTGTGCTATGCACTGTGCAACATGAGGCTTACAACCTTCTTCCTCTTCTTCCCAGTGTTAGTCTCCGTAGGTCGCTCATTTTCAGATAAACAAGGGAAAAGAAGGCATTATTGCAAGTAATCGTTAAAAAGCAAGCACCTCATCGAGAAAGTGGTACGGAACCAAATAGTCGGTGATTTTGATGGCATAAATATGGTTAGTCGACTGATGGACGACGATGTTCGACGCTCGCAGATGACGATTGGCTTAAACCGTTCAGCTCCCAGGAAATCGCATTCCCTAGCACTGATGCTGAAAATGAGGACAGAATCAGAGGACTCAATGTGGATGCTGCTAGATATTTACCTTACAAAAAGACTTCCCACTTCATTCCTTCTGCACAATAAGTCGACTCCTAGTACTTATCAATGCGCTAACCTGATAGAGAATCTCTGACTTCTGCCTCAAGGACGTGAACTGATTCAGCATATTTTCCGGTCGCCTGGAAGGCATCCTATCCAGAGGCGTACCAGCGACAAACTCGTACGCGATCCAATTCGAAAATTTCTAGAGAAAGCTTTTTCTTATTTGTGACAATCGCGATTATTTGTTGGCCGAATAGTTTACACTAAAGAACAAGTCATGAATACGTATATCATAAATAAGCATTCATGTTGGCCAAATGGGCGCTTTCAAGCGTACCTTTGCACCTTTCTTATTAGTGCTTCACTTTTCTCCGAGGCGGCAGAGAGGGGCGGGCTACAACAACGAGAAAGGAGCAGCGCTAAGTTTTTAATTGCTCGTGCGATCAGCAAGAAGTACGAGGTGAAGATATGGCTCAAACTTTCATCCGTTGAAGACAGTTCCCGCGCTCAAGTGATCCGCGAGATGCCTCCGTGCGTTTAGTATCCAAGTCTGAATTCTCGTAGAATCACCATCGTCACTCGAAGGGGCGAGATAAAGCGGCCACAGACTCACTACTCTTGAGAACTTATTCTTTTCGATCTGCAAGACAACGAGCTACACGGTGAACCGCGTGTCTGCATTTTGTTTTCTGTAGCGTCGTAGGACGATTTCGTATGCTCGCTGATAATATTCCTAACCTGTCGCCTTCTTCGCGAAATACGGGCTGCTTCCTGGATACGTTCTTGATCAGCCAGCTTGCTGGCAGCACGTTGGTGGCACCGGTGGACGTTATGTAGCAACGTGGGTCAAGAACAAGGCATTCGAAAAGTATTGTTACAAGTTCTCCCAGCAGCTCTTCCCAATAAAATTAGGTTCTGGACGGGAAAACGTGAAACAAGGAATAAACCGTTAGCATACCACTTCATCATGATGACCAAATGCGACAACATGGGAAAGAAACGTGTGGCCATTCCTGTAGCAACCTTTTCTGAAAAAACCTTGGTATCAACAGCAATTCCGAAATCCTGTCACTAGTGAAGTACCCACGTCGGATTAGCTTTACTCTTCTCCTCTAAGGTTATCAGTCGTCTGGAAATTCACAGCTTTCTTAAGGACAAATGGAGATCAAAGGCATAAGGCACGATAATTCAATGCACGATCTAGATTGGTAGCAAGGCTGCTACTAGTGGGGAAAATGGCGAGAAAGCGAAGTGAAACGGCCAAAACCTGCAAAAAAGCCTTTGTTCTACACGACTCAGAAAGCAATTTCGGACGAGTTTCCCGTTGGCATCGTGCCAATAACCGCTACGGTAGATACGGCTGCATATGTACTCATATATCCATGCAGCACTATAGCCGCTTAATATCAATCCGTTCGCTTCATAACTCGTAGAGAGAGCGCTATGAGCACCGACATCGGTAGGACATTTGTGGACGGGCGGGCGCGGTGGGCGTCCGGGTCGGTGCGTTGCAGATATAAAGGTAGTTCCTGCGGAGAAGACGCCACGCAGCGCCTTCTTAGAGGCGCATAATTCTGTCTTGCTAGGCGTGCTAATCCTACACGTCTTGGGGATTCATCGTGTCAATTGCCTTCAACGCAGTTCTGTCACAAGTCATAACCACTCACCTTATATTCTTCTCGAAAAGCTTTCTTATTGAACAGTTCGGTCGGTCCGTAGATTGGCGAAAGGGTGAACAAGGTTTTGAAGGAGCCATTGCTAAGAAAAAATATGCTGTGAAAAGGGGACTCTCTTGTTCTGGTCTGAATATATTAAGTTTCTTTGCTAATCTGCAATTGGTGTAAGTAAAAGAGTATTACATTACCATTTTCACTTTGAATTCGCCCTTTCAAAGCAACTTCACCACTTTATAAAAACAATTCACCACTTTTCGAACCACTTACAGTTTCCAAACCAAATTTAGCCACTCTTCTTAGACCAGCAGTTCACCAACCAAATCACGCCAGACACCACCGCGAACCCTGCCCCGACGGTCACGCCTACTTGTCAGCGCGGACATAGATTTTCAACACATGACTGACTCCGCCCATTCTTTAAAGTTTGTTGCGAACTTCAAATCTTCATAACTTTTCAATTTTCAATTTCACCATCTACGCTCCGCACAACGAAGGTTCTCGTAACGCACGCGCATTCATACACGGCGATTAGGCTCCGCCCCTTGGCAGCCGCCCCATCTTTTTTCCGCGGAATTTTCATATTTTTCAAAATTTTGCTTGAACTGCTCGCCACGAAGCCCCGCCCCGCTGATGGAGGCTCCGCCACTTTGAGAAAGCCCGCTCCACTTTTCCATCAGGCTAAGCATAGGAGCGCTGGGGCATTGCTAGGCGTCTCGTCAGTTCACTGCCGGACAAACTCAGGCAAAGTTTGTTTCCAGAGCTGACGGACAGGTCCCTAAGCGTGCAAGCCCAAGGCCTCTATAGTGACGATCTGGCACTCGATTTATTGAGAATCGGGCGGGTTTCTGTCAATGGCGGTAAAGCGGGCTTCGTGGAGCAGTCCAAAAATGCAAAAATTTTGAAAAAATATCAAAATTCCGCAAAAAGCAAGTGGGCGTGGCCAAGGGGGCGGAGCCTGAATTGCCGAAGCATGAATGCGCGGTTACGAGTATCTTCGCTGTGCAAAGAGTGGATGTGAATCCAAAAGTTCAAAAAACTCTGAAAATGTTCGAAAGTCGCAACACAACCTTCAAAGACTGGCGGAGTCGCCATGTGGTGGACAAACTATGTCCGCAGATGACAAGTAGGCTGTGACCGTCGAGCAGGGTTGCGCAAGTATGGGTGTCTGGGGATCTGGTTGGTTAAACTGCGAGCGAAAAAGACTGGTGAATTTGCTGTTGAAAAAAGGGGAAGTTGCATTTTAAAGGTGGTGAATTTGCTTTGAAAAAGTGGTGAATTGCTTTGAAACGCTAGGTGAATTTGCTTCGAAAAAGTGAGTGACATTCAAAGGGAAAATGGTGTATACAGGGAGTGGCCAAAAAAAAGTCCACTTTGACCAAAGTCTAAATATCAGCAGACAGTTTTTTTCAGGCCAGACAGAAGGGACGTGGATACGAGTACCAGGGCGGAGATACCCAAGATGTTCCTCTATAAGCAGGAGCTGGCTCTCGCCCATCACCTTCATGTACACCAAAATATGAAGTCATCTCCAGTCGCAACCTGACTGGAGAAGACCTTTCGGAATTCATGTCACCTCCGAACTGCTGCGAAACTTCTAGTATGGAGTCACCCATGGATAGCTACCTGGAGACCAGTACCCTCTCGATATGGATGACCCCCAACATCGAGGCAGCTCCGACAACGTCGCCACGGTCTAGGACATCATCTTCACGGCAGTCGCCAAGGCGCGGGTTGATGGTATGGACCGGACGCACCTGGAATGGAAAGACCAATATTTTCTTCGTGGACCCCGGGCTGAAGCTGAGCGCTGATGGCGGTACATCGACCCCACATGTCGCGTCAGCCGTACCTCCTTGAAACTTGTTACTGCTCAACATTGGGCCACCACGATGAATCGGAAAGGCGTTGGAGAAAACTCCCGCCCGAACTGGAATGGAAGAGGGCTGAGCACCTAAAAAAGGAGGGAGAGTTCAATGAGGGATGGTCTACGGTGGCGGAGAAATCGACTATCTCGCTGATCTCAGGGACCACATCGCGGTTGCGTGCCAGAATCTCTCGATGGCGCTCCTCCAGAAGGCTGTGGCGGAGTGTCATAATAGTATTTAATATGCTCTTTAATATGGTGGTAGAAATGTCCGATCAGAATTTATAAAGTGTAACTTATAGCGCCTCGAAAGTCAATGAAGCAAAGTGACTTTTTTTTTTGCCCCCCCCCTGTATGATTACGTTGCGCATTCGTTAATGGTGATGTTCCGCGGTATTCATTCGCACAGAACATGAAATAGGAATGGAGCAGTGGCAGGTTCTTTGGGAAAGTTCTGGTAGTGGTAGAAGTGACAGTCCATTCTGCGCACCGCCAGCTAATGCCAGTGCTCGATTAAGGTCGCATCATCTGCAATCGACCGGCGACTCATTTGCTTTCGGGACAGTTCTAGCTCCGCTCTGATTGTCTTAGTAGCTGCAACAATTCAATACGATTACGGTCGGGCTAATGAAGGTCGCCAGAATGGGCATTACTGAAGAAGCGAGCTTATCTTGATAATCCCTTCGAGTTCACGAAGGAAAAGAAGCGCGAGTTCATACCTATATGAACTCGGGAAATGAGAGGTTCAAGAAAATTCGAAGAATGGATGACATCTCATTTTACTTACGCACCACTCATAAGAATCGGAAAATCTATCTCAAAGAGTCTTTGAAGTCTGTCTTTTTGGCGAGAAGCTCATCTATACCACACTTTTCTGCTAGGGTATTCTCCTACTCTTATATCGCGACTACAGATGTCGCCTGAGGCAAATGCCTTACAATTTCTGCTTCTTGTTGGTCAATACGAGCTCACTGAGAGTCGATATGTCTCACATTCCCCAAGAAGAACATAACTCGTGGGAAACAGTTTTTTAATGAAGAACCTTCAGATCTACAGCATTTCTTTCTACCAACAACCACCGAGCTTCTCCCGATCAGGGCACATCATTGGTTGGGGATTTTGGTCGAGTTCCGTACGACCCCCCTTTCATGGGACCAAATACGACCCCCCCCTGTTGGGGATTCCCCAACAACGATGTGCCCTGCTCTCAATCCCTTCACCCTAGCTCCTTTGAACGTCTCGGCTGAAGGCGCTGGTCCGATTGAAGAGCTGAGCTATCAAAGCGCGGTAGGTTACAGATTTTCATTGTGACTACAACATTGAAAACATTAAAAAGAAACAGTGAAGAACATTGAAAAAGAGAACCGGGTCCGCACACTCTTTGTGCCCTTTCTGAAAGACTAGAAACTCTTTTGAACGGTTTTAACCATGTGTTTTGAGCTAGTTCTCACGAGGCCATGATCTGAAAGACTTATTCCGGATTGTAAATTATGGGCAGCGCTGTTCACTAGTGGACAGTGAAAGCAAAAATAAGAGCGAGCGTCGGAAACGTGCCAAATATGGCCCTGCTCTCGAATCCATTTTGAAGATTGGACGAACATGCGATGA